AGTTTATATTAAGATTTATTCAAGAAAACAAAATCCAACATATACAGTTACTTCTGATGACATGACTGCGACCAGGTGTATTTTCTGCCGAGAACAATAGGATTCTATTCCACCTTAATGGCTACGTGGCCATTTATTTCCCTGTCAGTATACTGCCCATTCTTGGTGGATTGAAAAGCGGCACTATTTTCTCTCCTGAAATCAGAATGTCCTGAAAAAGAAAAGCGCTGAAAAATACTAAAAGTGTTGGGAAGCACGACTTGTGCCTCCCAAGTCACAAGACCATTGGGAAAAAAATTCTACTTTTTATCTTCTTGGAAGTTCTCGGGTACTTATGTCACAGCACTAAACAGCACCTTGTACTTAGCAAAAAGTACTCATATAACCAACGGTCCAATTCAGGACCTTGGACTAACAGAGTCCAACTTTTAAGGGAGACAAATCGGCATTAGATTTCTCTAGGGAAGATAAACACACTTATTTCTGTTATTATTAGATCGTTGTAATCAATCTATTAGCCAAATATGAATTTAGCGTGCCTCCGACAGTGATTAGGAGGCAAAACGAAGACCGAGAAAACAGACCATATACACGCAGTCACTCCAGTCCTTTACTGGTTCATCATAAAGTGAAATGCTCCCGAGTGATAAACTGCGAAGATCAAGTGCGTTGAGATAATCTCTTCAGCAAGTCACTCAAACTGACAAGTAGTTCAGCACTTCATTGCTGTAACCATTGAAGGAGCTTGCTCATAAAGGGGTAAACTGGAAACCCATCCACTTGGGTCAAGGACTGCTTGTAACGACGATCTCAGAAGAGCATGGTTCCAGTTCACCGGTTGATGAAATCGCTTTCTACACGGAGTTCAGAACCACGTCTTTTATTTTGCATTACCATGAAATCCTTCACAGCTTTTCGTGGTTTTGGTGATAATCCACGCAATTACCAAACTATGATGAAGATAGCGAACAACCTCCATAAAGACGAGTAGAAGACGCAAACCTCTCCCATCGAGATTTCTAGGATTCTCTATCGATATAATTTTCATACCACATGGTCCACAGATGACATCTGGAATACCGATTTGAGCTGCAGCTGGTTTTGCAGTGACAGGATTGGGATTGGCAGCATAACAGCAACAACTTCGTTGTTGTTGTTGCCCTGCAAAAATAATCTTCAAAAATGTCGTTGTTGTCTGCGGTAGGGAACGAACACGCTATTCTCCTTTCCGGAAAGTAACGCGTTCACCAGCACAGCATGCTGAGAGACAGGCGAAACGAAGGACTTCCATGGTGTGGTGTGAACGCGTTACTCCCCGGAAAGGACAAGAGCGCTTTCGTTCCCCTCCGCAGACACCTGCTGTCCGGAGTTTTGTAAATATCTCAGCACCATTGAAGTTATACTTCGAAGCATACTCTGCCGTTAAAAAGAGTAGGCAGTAAATAATAAGTTAGAAATTTCGTTAGTTTTCATGTGCTGCCAGCACCTTTTTAACGGAAAGGTAGTATGTCAAATATAGTCATAACGATACTGAGATATTTACAAAACTCCGGACCGTTGGTGTATGCGGTGGAGACCGAACGCGCTACTACACTTCTCGTGTACTAACGCGTTCACCACCACACCAATCGGGTTCTTCGTTTCGCCTTTCAGCCGCATTGCTGATCTATGAGTGCTATCAGCAATCATCCTTCAACGGTAATGATCTTGCACAAATCGGCCGTGAACCCAGCCGTGCTGAAGCTGTGGTATACATCACAATGTCGTTACTTCTTATTCGCTCTCTACTTTTTTAAGCAGGTGGTTAGTATGTGAAATATAACCACAATGATGCTTAGATATTTGCAAAAATACGGACTGCTAATGTTTGTGGTGGGAATCGAACACGCTACTACTCTTTCCGGAGTTTAACGTGCTCACCACCACACCACGCGAGTCTTTCGTTTCGCCTTTCAGCCGTGTTAATGACCTATAATTACTATTAGCAATCACCCGGTCTCCACCGCAATCACCTGCAGTTCAGAGTTTTGCAAGTGTCTCAACATCATTATGGTTATCTTCAAAAATATTCTTCATGGAAAAGCTGATTGAGATCGCAGTGGTGACCATCAAAATTGACTTACCATGAATCTCCCACCATATTAATAGTTAGGTTCTTGCTTCATAAACCAACTTAAGCAAGTTGCATTATAAGCAGTGGTTCTGCACTGATCACCTCATATTAATGAATTTCGCTAAGCTTCTTATCCCTCCGGATCGGGAAATTGGTCTAAGGCCCAGGAAGAAAACCACTCTCTGCAGTCCAATTGGAAACGCTCTAGCATAGCTATTTCAGGATTCCCGAAAGGTTCGACTCGACCAGCATTCTACGGCATTCAAGTGGAAAGAAAATCCTGAAGCAGCTGCCGAAGCCACACATAGAAAGTTAGCATCGTAGATTATGAATGCGAGGAAGCGAATCGAATGTGAGACGTATTGGGATCCACAGAACAGATTTAGAGGTGGTTCGCATAAAAATAGAAATAGAAAAGTATATGCACTGATGCATGGTTTTTCTTTAGTGAAGTATGCTAACTTTTCATTAGCCTATAGCAACCTAAGTTGAAGAGGAGCTTAAAATCTTCAAGTTCGAGGTCGACCAGTGTCATTAACAACCCTTAAAGTAACCTGTAGGTATCTTTTTTCCAGAAAAATTATTTAAAAAGCATCTCATTAAAGATGTCGCTCTATTAGTCTCCCCCGATTGAGCTTTGGCCGCTGAGTAACTTTGACGTATGATTGGGCGAAAGGAGTTCGGTGGTAGTGCCGTCTTGAGTACCCCAACAATTAACGGGTTTCCCGAATAGCAATGCTTATAGCATGATTTCCTTGTACCTACAGAGCCTTCTTCTCTTATCGTGGAGAAGTAAAGTAATTATGTGTTTCATCATAGCAATGTGTTGCTATATTGTTTATTGTTATATTTGGTGAAGTAAGGGACAAGACTGTAATTAATGTCACGAAATTTCTTCCATATTACTTAAGGAAAAACAGCACTGTACTGGGCAATGAAGGCTGGCTGATGTGTTCAGATATGGAGTAATTTCTTAGAGCACAGAGTGGTATCTTCAAACCTAAAACTGGCTAAATTTCCTGGAATTGCTTTAAAGTTGTAGCCAGTTGGTCGGATGTGCCCAGCAAAACAATGTTAATATTCTGAAAACCGACTTTCTATTAACCTCGTCATTAATTGATAATTCGATGTTTTTCGTCATTAAGCAGACACGAGGTTGATATCGTAAAATTTATTAGGATACAGTAGCTGACTTTTCGGCGGTTCAGCCTTATTCAGAGCCGTTTATTCGTTGTAAGTATTCCAATTAGTTGGTGGGTAGCCGCCGCACAGAGTCATACGTGATCTCCGCCCATTTCAAGAAATACTATTTTTTAAGAGAATCATCTTAGTCTCGATTTAACTCAATGGCGTGTACACTTTGTGCGGCTGCTCTCCACCAACTTATTGGAATACTTGCAACTAATAAACGGCGCTGAAGAAGGCGAAACTGCCGAAACCTCAGCTATTCTATCCTAATAAATTCTATAACACCAACCTCGTGTCTGCTCACTGATGAAAACAGCGAATATTAATATTGATGAATTAGTTCGAAATCATTTTGGTTTTCGAAGTGACGAATTGAGCGGTTTTTTTCAACCTCATCTTCCTATGAAATCGCTGAGCGAAAAGACTGTTAAGAATATTAAGAACGCTTTTGTTGATTTCACTCATGTTATGATTTTCAGAAAAAAATATTTTAGAGAAGATATAATTACATGAACGTTCGTCCAATGAACATTGCAAGCCACTTCATCTTTTTTGGCGCGGTGTTGTTGAGGAAATAATGGCAAAATAGCAGCAATAAGGACGTGAACGATCTTAATGTTTTGTTTCCTAGTCGCTTCTTCATCGCTTATCCTACGAAAAATGTTGAAGATCATCACAATGATTCTCATAAATAATCAATTTTTAAAAATTTAACCAAACGTTATAAGCGGAAAACGCTCTGATGTGGGTCGTAATATAGAAAGCTACTAGAGTTACCGATAAAAGTACAGCAACCACTTAGCAGAGGACTTCTTGGACAGGATTTGGTGGTGAGTATATTGAGAAGACTTAGTAAACCATTCTAACATCACCTAGAATGAGAAATGCAATCATACTCAATGATACTCACTGAGGGCCAAATATGTTGAAGTAGTGAGAGTTTTAGGACAGTAGAGTTAGAGTCGACGCCAAAATTTTTAAGGTGGAGTGAGTAGACGAGACCAGGTTAACTTGTTAACGGCAACGCGAAGTCGATAGAAGGTGAGAGATTCTTCTAGGCACCTTAGAGACTTTGGTGAAAAAAACCTGTACTCAAAAAATTGGGTTGGAATAACTTAAGGATAAAATATTGTATACAATAAGCGAATTTGTGTCTGTTAGAAAAATGAAAACTTTGCTTAGCACTAGAAGGATCTAGCATTGCAACATCGTTTCTTCCATAGCTGAAAACAATTGAAGCAAAAAAATGGATTCTAGAAAAATTTATATAAAATACTCATACACGTTAGGATTAGAAATGAAGGAGAAGAGTTCAGGAAAGCTGGCTGCACTCACCGCAACAAATGTTGACAGGAATCGCTGCTGGACAACAGCAACAGCCATTGGTACCACCCTGGTAAAGAGTTTTCATCTTTCGGGAAGAGCGATATTAAAAGAGGGATTTTATTTGAAGTTAAAAAAATAAACTCAAATCAGCCTCTTCGGCAGAATAAGGTTATAAAATAGGAAGAAGTTATTTTAGTGCCCAGGATTTCTTTTTCTGGTTGCGGGAAATTTGTAACACATAGAGTCGCAGTAGATTGAAAAGACTATAAGAGACGGAATAAACTTTGTAAGCAATAAATGGTTTAAACATTTTATTTGAAAAGTGCCTCGAGAAAAATCGTTGGTTACTTTTGCACCAACACTCACCTAAAGGATGATGTCAAATGTCTATCTTACCGAAGAGCAACCGCCGCCAAAAAATCCGCCACCGATGAACGATTCGCTCACATGGAACACGATGACAAAGACGCAAAGCGATCTCATTGAGTTTCGTTAGGTGAAGACAACGACGGAATGGAGATAATTTACCTGTAACAAATTTCATTAGTTTAAATAATGAATGACGATCGCTTCAGCATTCGTAGATGCGAGTACGATTAATTATGGGTGAAAAAGAGATTTTTCTTTCACAGGAGGTTTCTATTTTCAGACGAGAATAAAAGGTACTGAAACAGTAGGCTTCATTACAAAGGCCATGGATCTTAGATGAATATCCACTAACATCGCTTTCGACGAGCTTAAATACTCACGCGAATGAACAGTGCCTATCTTCGACTCACTCGATGGTCAGCTTCTCCCTCCTGGAGAACCGCAAACATTGCGTCCAGTCGAGTCGTCGCTCAGCAAACAGTTGTACCGTTGAATTTTCGCTCATTGCCAGTTATTCGCTATGGAAAAACGTCACGGAAACAGGAATTTTAAGCATATTGGCCAATAAGAAGGATAAAGAACAAACCCTGAATCCGGAATTCAATGGTGAAACTGCAACGAGCATATTCCACCGACTAGTATGACGGAGCTCGTCACCACATTGTTGGAATGTCTTAAAATTTTGTCGCTTGTATTAAAGTGAAAGAAAATAAGAACATGTGAATAGCATGGCATGGATGTTAAGAAGAAAATTTAGAGCAGCAAAAAATCATGTGGCTCAACAAGATGACGGCCCATTATTCGTGATGTTTTACTGGACTCTAGAATGATTTTAAAAAACCCGATGCCGCCGGATTCTCCAGAAGTACGAAATACACAGGCAGACTCGAGCTATTGTGACTACGAAAGTCATAATATCCAATATACAGTCACTTATAATGGTGTTTAACGGACTCCTTCCAACTTATCAAAAACCGTAATATAATTCTAATGGTCTTTGATTAAAACTCGAAATCCGTTCTGTTAGTTAGCTTGTTGAACAAAGTGAAACTCGATTGTAACCATAATGTTGCTGAGATATTTGCAAAATTCCGAACCGCCGGTGTCCGTGATGGAGAACGAACGCGCTATTACCCTTTCCGGGGGCTAAGGAGTTCACAACCACACCATGCGAGTCCTTCGTTCCACCTTTCTCTCAGCCGTGTTGTTATTGTCCTATAGGTGCTAAAGCAATCACCCGTCAGCGGGATTAATCTGGGGAGCACATTTCACATAATACCAGCATATTTCACACAATATCCTAACATTTAAAAAATACTAGGTAGTAAATAAAAATTAACGACATTACGATTTAAAACTGGACTTTAAGAAAGAAAGATAAGGTGGGAACCTTAAACACTAATCAATGTAGCGCAATGGTTAGAGATGACCCACAAAAACCACGTGGTGATGGGTTTGATCCTGCGCCCTGCACTCACCAAGCCTTTCGTCGCTCCATGGTCAAATTGGCACCAGAGTTGCCTGGAAGGATAACGGCACTAACTTGGTATACCTGTAGATCAACGAAAGTCATTATATAGGTGAGGAATTGTATTCAACCCCGAATACAATGCTAGGAATGGAGTCAAATCCTTGGCGGATCCCTGGATCGATCAGCACCGAGAGCACTGTTCTTTGTACCTTTATTTGTGGGAATCTCTTGAGTCACATGATGTGTTCTGTTTTCAAGCAAAGTCTTAGGAAATAGTACTCCCAAAGTATTTATTTACACACTGTATTAGAAGTTTCACAGAAGAAACCAAATGCAATTAATCACGCTGTTGTACTTTTTTACAGGAGGCAGGTAGCGTAGTGATGGTAATGGTGATTATCAAAAGCACGCTGTTGGTTCGACCACGCGTCGAGTTCACCCAGCTCATCATCCATCCAAGGTGGGAAAATTGGCACTAGACTTGTCTGGTAAAAATTTACTCTCTGCAACCCAGATAGGAACGCTCTAGTCTGGCTAATTCAGGAGTCCAGGGAGAATCGACTTGACTAGCATTAAACGACATTCGTGATAGAAAGAAAAATCCTCAAACAGCAGCCGAAGCCACGCGCAAAAATTGGAAGACCTTTGTGGATTAAGGATGCGAGGAAACGAATCGAATGGGAGGAGTACTGAGATCCGCACAGCAGATGTGAAAGACGGCTCGCTTAAAAGAATTCATTTTTTACACAACGAACCTGCAAGCCGAACGACACTCTGATCATGAAAAACAACCGTTTCTCACATTATTTAGAGCAACTGACATTGGAGAAATTGGTATGCTAATTAACTTAGCCGTGCGTATTGACTACTTTTGTTCACCAACTATTTAAGGTAGTCATTTACGGTTGAAGAGATCTTGGGCACAGCTTGCCTTGATAGTTCCTGCACCAACGCCACGCTATCATGCTATCACAAACAAAAGTTAAAGGATAACTCCCAAGTCCGACTTTCTATTAACCTCGGCATTGATTGAATATATCTTTCTACTTCTGTTCAGCAAGCACGAGGTGCTATTTTATTTCTTTATTTACGCACAAGCTGACGTTTCGGGGATTTCGCCTTCCTCAGAGCCTGGAAGGGTCAAGTTGACAGCAATCCATTCGGCCAAACACCTCCATAACCAAACAGAGAAGACTCCAAACCAAGATTTCAATCACATTTAGCATAGCTCTGCACACTCACCGCTCTCTATGAGTCTTCCACTGAGTATGTCGCGTGAAGACCTCGTGTAAGCTCATCAAAGAAAGAATACATAAGATTAATGTCTTGCTTAAATTTATTAATATCAATTAATGTCAAAAATTCCTACGTCATCGAGGGCCAACCATGTGCTGAGTTTTCTTCAAAAGGCCGTGTAGGAGACAAGGTGAGAGATAATCATATATGCAGACAGTGTTTTGAACAGTGTTAGATACAAGAGATCATTTCCACGTATGAGCCTTCCATGTTATACTCAGAGTATAAGATGCCACCGTGTGTGATTTTCACCGACTTAAAAAAGCCTCGATTCCCTTCAAACTATCGCATTCATAAAAGTTTTCCGTAATTAAGGCAAACCTAATGAATAAATAATATTCCAGACTCCTCCCCATGAAGATTTATAAATCTTAATGATTCTTAGTCATTTTCGAGCAGGTGTGTATGGCCAGAGATATACTTCGTTAAAATTGAAATAATCATATGGTGCAAAATGTGTTAAATGTTAAAATATGTTAGTCTAAATAACCTAACTTTAGAACCATAGTAATGCTGAGATATTTGCAAAACTGTACACCGCTGGAGTCTGTGGTGAGGGGCGAAAAGGGTATTACCCTTTCCGAGGGCTAGTGCGCTCACCACCACACCATGCAGGAAACAAAAAACCAATGGTGTTCGCTTCCATAGAAATACTAGGAATGAGTCACCTGGTTTGAAGGTTATCCATTGAATTCAAAAGAGTAGTCTCCTTTCTCGAAAACAAGATTATTTTTTTTTTAAAAATATTAGTGTATTTTTGGTTACAAATAATGTTGCTAAACGAAAGGGTGCACGAAAGGCTTAAAACTGGTTGGATGAAGGATAAAGGACAAAGGATAAAGCTGTCGGCATTCACCAATCCCTGAGAGATGTGGCATGCATTCGATTTCATTAAGCACTGTTAGAAGTGATTGAATGCATGTATGGCCTATACGATGACTTGCGGTGGTCTACCGATGCATCGATCCAGTGCTGTAATCATTCTAGATAAGTTTGGCACCAATTTGCTAACCCCGAAGGGATGGAGGGCTTAATGGACCTGGGGCGTGGGGATTGATACCATATGTGTTGCAGGGCGCCTCCGACCAGTGCGCCACACGCTCCTTGAATATATTGCTTGGATAAGAACGTATAACTAGCTTTCTTCCCAATTTTTTAAAATTCCAACATAACGTTGCTCATGGACACAGACATTTCATGACGACAGTGTTTGCTTCATCCTTCTCACTTCGTATTTGAAGTCTCAAGGTGCAACAGTTTTAAGGCGGAGTCTTTTGTGTGAGGTTTCTGAGTTTGAGGTCTAAAAAGTGTTTCTACATAATCTTTAACGGTTATCAATAATATGTGAATAACGCTATATTGCAATTTGCCGTTTATTTTTTTTCTATGCTCTTTTGCAAAGGGCGGTTGTTAACGATGATTGCCTGCTGACAATAATTTGTTTTTCAACAGTCATTCCATCCTGCAGAGTCTTTATTAAAACACCTAGCACAGAGCGTAATAATACTTAACTGAACCGACTTTCACTTAAACTCAACGTGAATATTCAGCAAGTTTCTTTGGATCACTATCAGTCAACAACCGTCCTGTATAAAAGAGCGCTGCCAGGTGAGATTGCTTCATTTAAGCGGTGCTCCACTGAGGAAGACTCGGCTCAGTACGACGGCGAAGACACTACATCGAGAAGACGAATGACTGCGGGCTTTTAACTCGAATCAATCTGCACAGAGAAAGACGAAGACGTCGAAACAATAGCGAAACAGAAGTTGTATATCAGCTTCCTAGGAGCTGAACGGTTCAAAGATATGTATTGATAATTCACACCAAACTTAAGTAAAAGGTCGGTTTAGATTTACATAAAATTTTCTGAAGTCTATTAATAACTCATTTTGCTCCAAAATTACTAAATGTGCTTTAGCAGAATCTTCCATTTGTTTCAGTACAGCACCTCAAACTGCTGAAATAAGTCAAAGCAGAACCTTAGAAACGTATTTAAAAGTTTCAACGACTGCAGATACGATGCGTTACATCTTTATATCATCAACTGAACACGAAAAATTGCGGTTAGGATCAGACAGAAGAGTGCGCGAAGGGACGAAAAGAATGAAGAAAAACATTTGAATAGTGCTAAATTTACAACTGATTGGACGACAAATGTCAAAACGGTTGAAATAAGTCAAAACCTGTAAGGATAAAAACAAGTGGATTTTAAACAGCTTACGTGTTTAAATTGCATATGACAATAGGGCATAGAGTTGCATTATTGAATTCACTGTTGGTTCTATTCGTAAGAACTCTGCTTATGCCACTATAAGCCAAGGCCTACTATGGAAATACTGATGAAGATTCACTAATTTAGGATTTGGCTGACCATTGCCGTAGAAGAGTTCGTGTATGAAGACTAAAGCGGTACCCGAAAAAAGAGTTAATAATAAAGCTTCTTGCGTAGAGCTTATTTAATACGCATAAAATGAGACTATATTCTCATTGGAATGTGTGGTAAGTAGTAAGAAGAAACCCGCGGCAGAGGTGTGGTCGTCAATTCGCTTCTGCGCTATACACTCATCAATCCTTCCACAACTCTGTAGTCAAAAATTGGTACCATACTTTTCTGTTAAAATAGCAAAACTAACTTGATATATCGGTAAGCCACCGCAAGTTTTTGAACATGTGAGCTATGTATTCAACCACGTCTACGATGCTAGCTAGGAATGAAGTTGAACTCATGGCACAACTCGTGGGAATTGATCGACGCCGGGAGCTTTATCCTTCATCATTTTACCGTACACTTAAAAAAACGAATACTATAGTGGCACATTATATTAAAAAACGATCCAAATCAACTGCTGTTACGATGGCTCATTCTGAAAAAATCCTTCTGTTAACAAGAAGTGAACTACGCTGGCTTGTAGACCAGAATAACGGAAATAGCTGCAAAATCGACAGATTAATTACGACGCTAGTGCTCTTAACAAACTTGTAATATTAATAACACTAGAATAAAAAGCGATGAAAAATATGACGATGAAGAACATGAGTACTTCACGTTGTTAATCCACTTACGTTTTCTTCAGAGGTCGTGTCATTTTATTTTTACTTTATTTTTCAGAAGTCATTTTAAGTTGCTTTGTCCTGGTTATCGAGCTGCTGATAAAAAAGTCGTGTTTTTCTTTGTCTAATATGTTCTAAAATTCTTATCTTTAAGAGCTACAACGCCCTGGACAGAATCGTACATCGATAAGAATCGTACAGTTCGTCGCGAATCGATACACACTGCAACCAAGATGGTGAGTTGCTAATATTGTATTTTTACTTTAGGTTCTAGGTAACTGCGATGTGTAGTAGAACTCCTATACTCACATTTGCTTGATTTCAACATCAACTAACAGTTATGGAGGCACGATTAGAACTCTCACTGCAACGTTGCCACTGATGTTCACAACCATTCTAAATAGTTGCTCGCTTTTCCATTAAGGTTCTTAAATATTTTGACCCAAGACAACAGACGTGATTCAGGTTTGTGTAACGTGAATGGTAAGCTAACAAGTAATTTTATCCACATGTAGTTTTTTATTTGAAGCATAAGAGGAGAAATTCTCTCATTATCCCTTCTTCGTAAAGGGCCGAGTCTATCCACACTGCTTTCACGAAACTCCTTTAATGCCACACGGTTTTATTAGTTATTATGTCGCTTTTTAAGGGATTGGAAATCGCTCTATCGAAATTTTAACACAGATTTGAAAGAAAGTCCATTGAAACCTATTAGGCTCGTAGATGAGGGAATCAGGGAAGAAAGAGAAATACAGAAAAAAAGGAAGAGAAAAGAAAGTTGAAAACAGTGTTTTTAGCGAGCTTGAGAAATAAAGAAATTGAATAAGTCATAGAACGAGAAAAAAAGAGTGAAAACGATATCTATGAGAGAAAAGCGAAAAAAACCAGGAAAATCTGTAATATGAAGCATGAAGAGCAGTTCATAAACAAAAAAATAGACAAAGTTACAGCCGAATAAGTGAATAAAACAATTATAAAAACCGTTGCGTTTTAGAGACGACATAATGTGAAAGGTCTAGAACGGTCATCGATCAGTAAGAGTGATATAACGCAGAAGTGAGTTTCAGCAAGTCTTGCAGAACTGCAATGTTTCTGGTATATTCAAGATAGTTCTAGGATTCTATGAGTAAGATAAATTCACGTTTCCTTAGCGCGTAATACGAATCCTTCTTGACAAGGAAATAAACAAGAAGCGAGGAAAACACGCAAGTCTAGATTGCCTTAATTAAGAGTATTAACTATGGTGCATTTAATTTGAATACTTACGTACCTTAATACTTCACTGGCTCCCCCTAGTGAGTCACACAGGCCCCAACACACATTCCATTCGTATCTTTCCTTTTTGATTGACGTCTATAGCAGCGATTTGTTTCGACTACTGTGGAGTCTTCGAGTGTTATTTTATCACTCATAAATCCCTACTACTAGCTAACACGTTAAAATGGAAGCCCGTTCTGTTAAGCGTTCTTTTTAAACAGGCGACATGACGTTTCTCTGAGTTCTAATGTGTACAGGTCATAATACGCATTCTGAAGCTCAGAGAAAACACTACCCTGTCCATATCGAAGGGTTCTATTGGGGTTACACCTGATCACCGTCGCTAGAATCGCTTTTTTTTCATGGCACCCTTTTCTTAAATGATCTATTCATTTTCCGTTTTACTTCTAACACATATTTTTAAAAGTAGTTAATTGATTTAACGAACTTGAAATAAAGACCGCTCACATATCCAAAGGTATCAGATCTCTTTTAGCACCATGCCATATCCGAATTCGATTCGTCTCGATCCGATTCGATTACCACGTCCAACTATATTACGCGAATCACCAATATTCGACATTGGTATTAGCAAACTTGCGTCTTATTGTATTTTATTACTATTTTTTTGCATCCTATTTTCCTGATAAGGACAAAAGGTGTTCTTGTGGTGCAGTGGTTAGGAATGCTCTGCAATACACGAATGGTCATTAGTTCAATCCAATGCGCCGAACTAACCAGCTCTTCATTCTTAAAGAGTTGTAAAATTGGTATCATACTTGTCTTTGTCTTCAACACTTAGCACTTTTCTTCATTCAACCAAGTTGCACTCAGTGTTAGCTCAGTCCAGTTCTAGGCGATTTATATCAAAGGGCGCGCTACCACCTGTGTCTGCGATCGAGTGGGTCGCACAAGGTGGCATCAATAAGATCTTCACCCATTTCAAGTGCTCGCGATTTTCCATAAATGACCGTTTTGTTTCGTATTTAACACTTAATCTACCATCTAGAGAACTTTCCATATTGTAGACTAGAGACCCATAACAGGAGGTAAAACGACATAACCTTTACATCCCCCCAATTCCCTCTTGTGTATGGAGAATATGAAACGTCGTCAACAATGGAAGCCAGAATTTAGACAACCTACTCTCTCACCTTATTTGCCGGCTCCAACAATATAATGAAAAGTGGAATGAGGTGAATGGAAATCCTTTATCAATCCCTCTTTACAGTAGTGGTGTTTTTTCTTAATTTTGGAGAACATTCGTATTCGTCACGCTTCTCAGTGTATAGAATGGCCGAGTTTAGAATTTTGGAAGTGATGCCGATTGTTTTAGGTCACAACGTCAACACTGTTTCATCTTCAAGAGGTGTAATTCGAGCGCAAGTGACGCCAAGCTATGGACCGTTTACTTTTCCTGAACATCTAAGAACTCGGCGCCTTGATGACATCAATATAAATCCTGCGAACGATGAATCGTTTGTTTTAACGCGATCTTTGCTACCAAATCTATTTGCTAAATTAACAGTGCAATTTAGTAGTAATCAACGAATTTCAGCAGAGACACAGACCATTCTGATGCTGTTATCGACTTTGTACTAAATTTAATTTGCGTCTCAAAGGCGTACTTTTCTATAAAGAATGCGGAACAGATTCATTATTCTTCCTGTATCGTGAAATTTTTCCGTTTTCATCAGAGTAATTTAGATTAACTCGTGCGACATCGTTCGTCAGTGCCATCGATGTACATCAAGTTGTCACAAATCAAGTGCCTTTGGAATCTCTAGAAGAACGTAACGATCAAGTTCATACCTTACAAATTACACCACAAATTATACCCAGAGTTTCACCTGTGGCTCAGCCTACACCGGAGACGTTAGTACTATCCACTCAGATGCCGTCACCTACAGTGAACAACGGTATCTCCGCGAAGAGCAAGTGAATTTTCATATTGTCATTTGAATTCGTTGATTTAAACTTGTTAAGTTACTCTGTTAGAGCCTACGCACCTTAAACAGTGGGGCTAGATCTGGTTATTGAAATTTTAGAAAAGTAGTTGTTTTGAGGTAAGACAAATTGCTCATTAATCCAATACTTACTTGGGTAGTTCAGTGGCATTGCGTTACCAGTAGCGGATTCTCAGAACATTTCTTTATTCGCATGTCAGCTCAGCTATCTTACTCAATCATGTTTGTTTGCTTCGAATCTGTTGACGTAGTAGTAGACCATGATCCGTAATGATTTCAGCTGCAAACCTGTCCGTATATCCTGTAGATGGCCGTCTTAGAGAATTTGCATTGTTTGCTCCGTATTGCAGTCCAATCTACAGCTTTGATTTTCTAAACTCATGGTATATTCCAAATATGCGTTCAAGTACCTTTGTGATCTTTAATAGAACCGAATTCACAACTGATCCCTTAGGAATTGGTCAAAGCCAAACACTTTAATAAAACGCTGTTCCTAAATAATAGTCAAACAAAAAAGCTAGCTAACACTTTGTCATCTGCAGATGTTGGCAAGCTCGTGTCTGGTTGGTAAAAGCTGGAACGCAACTGTTTTTACTAAAAAATATTAAACTGAATGTGTCGTTTTCTTGTTCAGCAATCGCGAGGTTTTTNCTGTAGATGGCCGTCTTAGAGAATTTGCATTGTTTGCTCCGTATTGCAGTCCAATCTACAGCTTTGATTTCCTAAACTCATGGTATATTCCAAATATGCGTTCAAGTACCTTTATGATCCTTAATAGAACCGAATTCAC